ATACATAAACATAACAAAAGGAGAATCTTCCTTTCCAGGACATCATGTTTGTGTTAATATTGATAACATAAAACACTGACAAACCTCTTTGGCCTTTGGATCAGGAATTTGTGATGGAATTGAATCATATCCCTACAACATTAAAAAAAACGTTTTTTGAGTATAAATCATGCAAAATGATTGTAACCTATTCAATCATGAATACAGGTAGAGTGTGATACCTCCGGTTTCACATCGTTAGGGTCAATAATAAACTCTCTGTCGTCCCAGTCTGCTGGCTGTGAGGAGGACACAAGTCAATATATAATTTGTGGTAAGGTAATATTTTTCTTTGGTTGGGGTATGATAGAGAGATTGGCGCACAAAGAAACAACGATGTATGCAAGAGCCCCACATGATGTGGGATAGGCACATATTTAACCAAAGAATTCTACAAGATACAAAGTACTGTGTACTGATTTAGAAATATTACTTTCAGTCAAAAGCGGCTGTCAAATTTTAAGCACTAAATTGATTGCTTGTGCCCAACATCAATTTTTGTCCACAGCTGAAATCATAACACTATACCTTTTTGGCATTGACATCCTTGATTTTTCGTGGAGGAAGTATATCCCAATCTGTATACATGCTTCCAGAATCTCTTTCTCTATTATCAACAAGGACGCTGTAAGTTGCATCAGGCCTAAGAATAAATGTATAGAAATGAGTTAATTTGTCTGTTTCACACTCAAGATCCTTTTTTAGGGGATAATTCTGCCCCTGGTAAGAAAGAATAACATGGAGCTTTTTCGTCTGTGTGCCACATAAATCAGGTCCAAACATGAAACTGCAGAAAACATAATGTGAAGAGTCAGAAGCCATTTTCTCTTTGCATACAGTTAAGTATTAATAACAATTAATAAAATTACAAAGTATGCAACCAACTCAAGTAGTCATCAGTATGTGAGCTTGATATAGGCAAAGGCAAGAAGACTCCAAGATGAATTCAACACCACCAAATACCACAGAGTAATATAATTGCGCACATGCATGCCTACGCTTTCATGATCAGTTTTTAGGTTCTTCCTAACCAAGTCAATCTGCAACACTTTTTATCTTCCCCATGATCTTGTAAAGCCTTCACTGAGATAAACTGCTTATAGGACCAGTTATTGCTTATCTATTATTCTACATCCAAAAAATATTTCTGAATATCCTTCAGTATTCCATCTACAAGTGCAGCTTGTTACATTTGAGAAGTATATGGATTTTAACGTTATTGTTTCTAAGTTTGTTATAAGCATCCTCATTGACCAATGGGATCTGGTTATGGATCATTTAAGCACAGTATATCACACCACAAAAAAGTCAGCTCTAACATAATCTATTGTCAGCTTAAATACAACCATGCACAATAACCCACATGGACCCCGACCCCTGGAAAAAGACTCCCATTATTGGGAGGGTTTTGGCCTGCAGTCTAATTACTCCTTTCCTAGAAAATATGTAGAAGAGTCAGTCTTCCGTAATGTTTTAATGTTTAGTGTTGCCAACACCTTTTCCTTTCTCTGTGTGCATAATTTATTAGAGCATATAGAAATGTATAAATCCAAATCCAACAAGATTTGGCTGGGTTCCTTGTATATGCAGAAGAAATCCTTGCAACTCCTGACATGTTTAAACCCTCAAACACACTTAACACATATATGTATATACAAGGTAATATGTTCACAGACCTGTATGGAGTATCACCACCAAATTTCTTCTGATTGACATAGCCAGACATAAGTTTGATGTAACCACCACCACATTCGATCTCTTGTTCAAATTTAATTGAATACTGGATAACTAGAGATCTATTTTTGTTGCTGAACTCAGGTACTTTTGCAGATATGGCAAAATGCTTGGCATCATTATATGTCTGAATGCCTGCATAAATTTCAAAAAGTAAGCTATCAAATGCAGACACTGGTAACTCAGTACACAAATTCCAGTTATATAAGGCATTAATTAATTGAGACTCCAATGTGGCTTCTAATTGAAAATTGAAAACCACGACATGTTGATTATGAAAGAAAGGCATTTCTCTCACATTCCTACAAACCTATATGGTAATGACTATTACCTCTGTCATGTTAAGTTTTTCACTATTCGTGATCTTATTATTCTTTGTTTAGCATAAACTGGTTCGTCAAACCAAAGTGAAAGTTCATATTAATCTCAGTACACAAATTCTAGGACAATAAAGCTGATATAATTTATGCCAAATTTTAGTTAAATTTTACAGAGTTGTCCACCAGGAAACATGATATGAGCAGTGTTATATAGTTTGATGGTTAGAGAACCCTGAAAAAATCATAGGAAAATGAAGAAAACATATTAGTAACCATCTAGATACAGGTCATCGTTTCTTTATTGCAACTCACATCTCATCTTTTCTCTTCTTAATGCGACTACATATTACCCTTCTTTCTAAGAGGTCCTCCTTCCATTGTTCTTATATTCCTTTTCCTATATTATGAGATAGGAAAAGGCACATTTTAAAAAACACATTTTAAAAATACTGTAGAGACTAGTCCAGGGGTCAACACAAAGCACGACCATGGATTTGACCTAAGCCTTAAGTACAACTCTGAGCGCCAAAGAAGCAGAGAGTCACACTAATAGATGTCAGCTCTCAGTGAACACTTTTCTCATATCACACAACTGTTCTCATGTCAAATGCATGCACTCAATATCAAACTAAATAAAACACATGAATGAACAATTAAGCATTGAGTTCATTTATGACTTCAGATTCTCCAAAACTTACTAAAAGATTCAAACCAGTAAATTATAGGGTACCAAATACAGTAGTAGTTCACATTTGCTTTTGAACCCATGATTGAAAATTTTAAAGTATCGCATCCGATTTGGAACGAAAAAATTCCACATATACATAATTTTTCAGGTGCAAAGTATATTATCTCAGTTTATTTCTGAATTAAATAATATAAACTGCTCAATAAATTCTACATAACTACAAAAGATGAACAGTAAAACAGCCTTTTATTTCATAAATGTAAGTTCAACAACAAATCAATGATATACGTTCTAAAACAGAACTAATAAGCAAAGGGTTGTTAGGATACCTTTATCATCCGGATCTCCAGACCACTTCCCTGCAGTGTACTTAAACGTTCCTGCTTTTCCTTCTGCCCTTTTCCAGTCTGATAAGACCCACCGGCTCTTCCACCCATCTTTTTCCACAACAATCATTACAATACATAAGAAACTTTTATTTATTTATGAGAATACACCAGAAACTTCAAAAACAAAGAATAAATGAAAAAACTTTGTACTGAACCAACCAAGTAATTGTCCCACAAACAGACACCCAGTTTCATAATCAACTGAGTGAGCTTCACAAAGTTGACAGTTTGTCACTATACAAGCTTTAATAAAAATATATACAATCATACATGCATCCATTTGATTCATGATCCTTACTGTCCTTCCATGTTCTCACAAACCAAACAAGGTGTAACACAGAGCTTGGTAAATCCGAGCACAGCATTCAAACTAAGCAATACATTTAGACTTTTCACAAGACAACCACATACAAGCCCAAAAATCATCCCTTTCACTACTAATTAGGAGAGAGAGCAAGCAAATCTAAGAAATCAAGCTCTAAAGACTGATCTGAAATGCAAGAAGTTTCTAGACACTGTTCGGATTCTGCGGAAATGCTAAGGGAAAATAAAAAAGCGTTTACTGATTATAGTTCTGATTCTTTTACCTTCGAATCGCTCTTCGAAGAAGACTTCAGAGAAGGCGAAGTGCAAGTAAAGGACTAGAAATGGAAGCAGAAGCTTGAGGGCACTGAGAAGCTTCATTTTTGGCTCTCTCATTTTCCTGCTAGAAATCAATGCAGAGACTTGCAGCTACACTGGTCAACTTGCTATTTATTGAAAGAGAGCATCAGATTATTCACCGCACCTATTTTTATTCTCAGTAGTCCCAAAAGTAATTTGGATGCTTCTAGAAGGCCTTATTTTATTCAGGGCCATTTAAACATAAGCCCAAGTCATAAGGCCAAAGCAAAAACAAGCCCTATGTATTTTTTGCTTCTTCTTTTCTTATAGCCCTAATTTAAAGTAGATGGTCGATCACTATAGGTTTTCAAAATTTAAAATAAAAAATGCATTTTTAAAATTGTGCATAATAACGAACAATCTTTAATGGAACAACATTGGGCAAAAACAGCAAACTTCTTCAAATGCCGGGTAGAAGTAGATTAGAGAAAATGAAAAAATTTAGGAGGGTTTCGGGAAAAAGATTGGATTGAGAAATTAGCAATAACAACAAAAAAGGTGATTGAGAGCTCATATCTAAGCATGGTTTAAACTAAATCACCGCAAGAGGCTTATTATTCAAGTCACCCCCAAAGTCTTGCTATTCAAGTCACCATAAGGGACTTGTTATACACTAACCTCAAAGAAAAAAGGGGAAAAATAGAAGAGGAGAAGAGAGAAGCACATATGCTTCTTCTTCCTCCTCTCCCTTTGTCGATCTCTTTCTTTAGTATTGGGAGTTGTTTGCTATGCTATGTTGGAGTTTGTGGAAAGCAAGAAAGAATTTTGTAACATAATTCATGGTACCAGAACGAGCAAGGTTGCTTTTGAGAAGATGGTGGAATTGCATGCAGAGTTTTGTATCATATTAGGCTTTGGGAGTACTCAGGAAACAAAATAACTAGCTCTTGGTATTTATGTGTCATGATAAATGGCCATTTCCGTGGTTGATTGCCATTACCTTTTTTAAAATTAGAAGAAAATTTACATGGAAAACAAAAGGTTATGTTAAAAAAGTAATTTTCTCAAGAGAGAAAAAATGGCAAAGCTAACTGATTCAAATAGAATCTCTAATGCTCATAAGGATGCTATAAGAACCAAAAAATTCCCCGCTCCCCAATTTTTTTCAATCTTGTATAATTTCAGGTAACAATTGAATTAAACGATGGAAAAAATAATGACACCTTGCACTTCAAATCAAATTCTCTCTTGTAAGTAACAACCCTTCCATCTATACCTCCTCACACCCATGTGAAGTTATGTACATAGATTAACAGCCTGAGCTCCTAGGATCACTTGGTGGTTAAGGGCACAGCTTCCAGGGCTTGCTGCTGCATTTATGCAACCGCAGACACCAAAACACACACGACCAAACTAGGGTTTAATCGATTCACTTTCTTACTTTTGTATCTGTTGTTCGAATTCGCGGTGATGACTGTGATCCGCCACCAAGTGCAGCGGCAGCAGATTCAACATGTGTAAGAAGATACTCGTAGATCTTCTTCCTTAGCCTCTCGATGGTTTCAGCTGAAACAGCGTTTGTTTCTGCTTCATCTTTACTAGAACTAATATCATCCAACCAATCATTCACACTCTTGAGCTGTGTTAGCATTCCTGCTATTTGACCATTATCTGACAGAGCTGAAGTGTCCACATCAGCATCCAGGAACCTCTCCACAAACCCCAAAAACCAATCTTGTGATTGCAGTCGCAACATTTCAGCCAAGTCAACAGCCTCATCAAGGCCGTTTCCTCTATTCCATTCGGGTAGAGGTTGTGCCTGTGGCTTTTGGCTGATTGCTGATCCATCCCCTAGTCGGCGAGGAGTTCCTGGTGTTGGAAGCTTGGAACCAACTGTGTGGCGAACTTTGCCTTGGGATTTTGTTGAAGTATTCTTCGTAGAATTTTCTAGAACTAACATGGGTTGATTTGCAGAGACAATCTTTCGATTTTGAGAGGAAGCTGAAGCTGGAACAGAGGTTGAACTGGACTCTTTACTAAATACAGCAAAAGATGACAGATTGGTGGCTAATGCAGCTTGTACCCAAGATGCTGCCTGTTTCCGTCTGTCTGATGTTATCTTTTGTGCATCTTCTGATGGGCTTTCTTCACGGTCTGGGGATGAACCAGCTGGTATAATTTTGTATAGAGAATCAGCAACTACACGAGCATTATTCAAGCTAGCATGGAGGGCTAAAAACTGCTCCACCGCAGGCTGTGGGTTATCTTCCTTGGCAGAGGTAGTTAGCTCAGAATATATGCTGCAGGACCGAGGTAAAAGGATAACAAAAAAGAATGTCAGACAACAAAGTAGAGAACCTAGGCTAAAAATTCAACATATAAATTTATGGACCCCCCAAATAAAAAGCTCACAGATAGGCAAATCAATCTTGGCCACAATTATAAGTATATATGAAAGGCTAGAAAAGCAATGGAAATCGTCACATCATAGAGTACAACAAATTTATACAAATTAATGTGGATGTGCACTTTCCCTTAACTTACTCGTACTAATATACAATTGAACCTCTTAACCACCACCACATGTACTCAAGTGAGAAATGACAACAATAAGGGAACTGAATCTACTATCTAGTTATTTCTACAATCCCTGACAATGTCGTGAAATAACTTGATGTTCGTAGACCTTTTAAGCAAATCCATTCTCCCAAAATTCCCTGGTCAAACAAGGTGACTTCTACAAGTGATTCTCCTGTTCAAAAATATGTTATATGCTTTGGATTCCTAAGCATCAGTGGTATTCCTAATTACAATTCAAACCTTCACCTACATTTTTTGTGTCCTATTTGAAGCACATGCTATTCTTGATTGCACAATGGTCACTCTCTAAATCATAAAGCAGGGCTGGCCCTATGACCAATTTATAGAAACTTATTGCATTTGGTAAATAGCTTACTTCGCTGTTATGCAGACACCACCTACTTTCACTAAAGCTCTTTTGGTAAAGCTACATTATATGTAATCCATGACCAAAGCCTTCTATATTATATCCCTAATTATAGTTGATCATGCCAAGATAAGGAAATAGTCGCTTTTGGGTATCTTGTAGCCAGGGAAATACAAATCCATCATTTCCACACCTAGTTTGAGTTTACTACTGATATTACAATTCGTGTATTTTGCCTGAGTTTATCAAACAAACTAGACATTTGAGTTATCTCTAACCACAATAGCGTAAAAGTTACCGTTACTCCATACATAGGTGGTAAATGAATTGCACCGTAAGAGTAACTCTACAAATTTAAGAAGAGAAAATGCAGAATACTCAAGTACAAGAGTCCTATCACAATTAAACATATCTCGGTGGAGGCTTCTATCGCTCAACTATCTCATGAGAGTACACTACGAAAAGAAAACAGCCTCCATGCCATATATGCTGATAACTGTATAACTCTAATAACCAGGGCTATTTAACAGTGAATCAACAGAAAAGGAGTTGGAAAAGATATGGATTGCAGGGATCACAATGACCATCTTGCTGCAGCTTGGATACCTTAAGGATCACACTTTTGTATATATTGTCAATAACCGAGAAAAAACTACGCATGAAGTTCTAATGACTGTTCCATATCTTCTGGGTCTGAATGTCCAACCATTTTTACTATCCAACCACAATATCATATACAACTTGGATTGGAAGATGACCTTCCTTAGTGCAACTCAATTGAGGTATAGAAAAAAGGATGGAAAAATGTACATATATAATATTATATCTAAAATATTCATAGTAAGGGTTTCCATAGGTGATAGTGACAGAAAATATATTCTAACTGAATTGTATTCACCTGCCACTATCTCGTGGTTAGATCAGTATGTCCGGCTCCATCAACCCTACATGTGACTACCATGCACATTTATCATTCTGACCATGGCCTTTGCCTTTATGATAACTAAATGCATTAACAACCCCAAGACCAAAAATATTGTGTAAATTATGTGAGTTACTGAATTTTTAGGTATAAGTGAAAAAGATCTTCTTGTTAACAAGCCAAATGAGAGTTAACACATCTCTCATAGTCCAGCACCCCACCATTACCATTCATATCCCGGCACTTCTACCATGATGTGGTGCCTCCAGAATAACTAAATGCATGTTGCACGACCACCAACACGATGATTGCTTATGCTTTCATGACTTTTAAGTGAATGAATTATTATGCTTTTTTTTATAAATGAAATAAGTAAATGAATTTTAAACCTACATGACAAATGAAATTTTCTGCTTGGTACTTTGAAAATTTGACAAACAGGCTTAAAGAAAAATCAATCAAATTTACAAGTGCTCAATTTTTTATGACATTGAAACTTTTGGCCACTGATTATGTTGAGCACCATTAGAAGGAAACTTCAAGCAAATCCACAACTCCAAGTCTAACTCACAAATAATAAAATAATATATTCCATGTCACTGGCAAAAAGATGTAGTTATACCTCAAACATCGTAGCAAGCTCTCTGCAGCAGAGGCCTCCTGCATCGCCTCTATTGCTGCTATTTGTGCTGCATCCCTGTGTCTCAAAACTTCCTGTCATAGTAGATGTAAAAGCATATTTTAAGAAAAAGAAGAGCTGAGCTCTACAGCATAATATATCCTCAGAAAGATCAGAACACCAATATAAATGAATGTCACTGAAATTTCAGTGAAAAGAAAAGTTAAATCTTCCTCATATTTAAAATGAAACTACAAACTTGTCTGCTAATAAAGAAAATTGAACCATCAAAACAACTCATTGGCACACAGCAGATCAAAAGCTAAGAAATTAACACAAGTCCGTAACCCTATATATGCAAGAACAATTGGGGACCTCAGATATCAGTGACTTCGTTATTTTATAAGATTCTCTAATTGACTTCTGCGGCATCTACCAACGAAAATTGCAGAAGTAAAACACTGTAGTACATTTAATTGGCAGACAAGAACATTTATGCTAAGACATCTACCAAGATCTAAGATGTTACAAAAGATATACCTTTCCAAGCTTTGCAACTGATGATGGGAGTGAAGCCCATGGAAAACTTCCATCTGTCAATTTTCTATTATTTAAAGAAACCTTGACCAAGTTTCCAGGAAATCCATTATTAGCATCTGTTGATTTCTTTCCAACAACTCTTTGTTTATTTGACCTATCTTGATCACCCAAAGTTCCATTTGCAGTAACTTTCTTTGTAGACATTTGAGCCTTACTCTCTTCTTTCAATGACTTTGCAGACATCTGGATCTTATTCTCCTCTTTAGATGGCAACCTCTCACTTGATGTACTTTTTCTAGGAGCCTGGCAAATGCAAGTTTTTTCAAATAATAAATATAGTTTTTTGCTTTGTACAAGAGAAAAAAAACACCAAACATTGAATTGCTTTCTACATCTTTTGGAATTTACTGCAAAATCGAATCAAAACCAGAGAGAGAAGAAGAAGATTTTTCAAACCCTAAAATTCATAATTGCTGGCATTTAATTTGAGTTGTTTATCTCCAAAATCAAATTTTTCTCTCAGAAGATCCACCAAATGAGAAATCAATCTAATCTCAAATAAAGGAACAGAATCAATTTAAATCAACCCAAAGTACACTTAAGCAAACTAATAACAAGTAAAAACTAAATAACATCAATTTCAAATTTAATATGGAAGAATTGTAAAACTTACAGACATCCGAACTTCTTGCTTCGGATCATGTGTGGTAGCCCTCAATTTTGAACTCTCTCTATTCTTCACCTCCATATTTCCTTCCCAGCTCTTCCTCAGGGCCTTGGCTCCCAGTTCAAACCCCTGAACAAAATTCTTCATCGGGTTTCCCAACACTGATCTCTTCCCAGGACTAGCCCCACGAGCTGAACTTGTCTTTTCCACCACTCCCACGACCTTAGGTGTTCCCTTGACTTTTGCATGTTGCTTGACCCCATTGGCAAATTTCTCAAAAGAAGTCGGCAACGAATAACAACTTGTGGGAGATGATGGGATAGACCATGAATTCAACGACTTTATTCTCGGCAATTCCTTCTTCACTTCAACATTTAATGCTGGTTTTGATGGCTGAGACTTTGATCTGCTAAAAGACCCTATTTTCTTATCCAATTGCTCCTCCTTACCACTACCATTTGATCTCACTATTCCATGTTTGTCCCTTTCTCCAGCATGACCATTTCCTAATACTTTAGACTCAGGTTTCACTTTCTCTACAGTTTTCAAACCTGAACGCGAATTATTGTTAAGAAATCCAAGAGAATCAGTAGCAACAATGTCTTCAGGGCTCCCCACACAAGGGTGTCTCCCTGGTACTGGTCTAACGCCACGGAGAATGGGGACAGGGGTAGCGGCTTGGAGCCGGTCCACATGAATAAACTGACCCAGTTGGATCTTATCACTGAGAATTAAATCATCGTGTTCATCAGGGAGAGATACATAGGTGGCATGAGAGGAATCTGATACCTTAAGGTAGAAACCTTGGTTTGGGAAAAGCTCACCGCCGGCAAGCGCTGGAACAATGCTCACAACTTGCAATAGAGAGGACCTGTGCTCACCAGCAACTTTCACATCTGTGTTCATATGCTGTAGAAGTTTGAGAAGCACGCCAGGGACAAGATTTGCCATTTTTGGACACCCCAATAGGCATCAGACAAAAAAAGTTCCAAACCCCGATGAAAAGCTTCAAGCTTTCACACATAAACACAAGAATCCTGCACAAGGGGCTATTAAGAAAGCGTTTTTTTTCTCAAAACCCAGATTGGAAACTCAAAGATTTTATATATGCGAAGACAAAGTTACGGCAGGGGATTGAAAAGGGAGGATTTTTCTCAATACCCAGATGGAAAAAAAAGGCTTTTTTTCTTGGTGCCAAGATTGAAGCAAAGAATTTGATCTGTGGACTTCGACGGGTTACAGAGATAGGAAAATGCGAGTAAGCTTTACAAGTAAATGAAATTTGTTACCAAAGAAGGGCTTAATCCCACAAAACACAAGTAGAGAAACGTGCAATGCACAAGATTCAGGTTTGGTAGGTGTGAGCTTTTGGCAGTAATAATGGTAAACATTTTTTTCAGGAAAAGAAAATCAAGAAATTAGAAGCCAACCCAGAGACATCAAATATATAACTAAAATATCAATCAGATCAAATCATCAACAAAGAAATAAATAAGGGGATTTCAACAAATGGGATTAATGATTGTGCAAGACAGAGAACAATCACCAACCCAGCAAAATTGAGTAAAATGACTGTAACCGAAACAGTGACATTTGCAATTTCTTCAACTTTCAATAAAACCAAAAATGGGAAAAGAAGCAAGTTTTGGAAACATTGTTTGGCTTTTATAATTTTTGCTTTTTGGGTAAGGAGGATAAAAACAAAATGATTAGACGAGTTGATGGAGAAAAATCCAGATCACAAATAAAAAGACACTTAAAAAAGCAACCTTTTTTTAAGAAGACCGGGTGATGATGAAGAAGTACAGATGAGAAGTGCCTTGTGCAGTGAACATGAGAATGGGAATGGGATGGCGTTGGAAATTTCTTTTCTTTGCAGAGAGATTGGGGATAATTGAATGCCCAGGCTTATTGTATGATTGAGTTGCAAGGAGCTGTCAGTGCCTGACACAAACTCACCACACACAAAACACACATTCGCATCATAAAACGATAGAAAATCTGAAGCTGCCCCACTTGGGTTGCTTTTGGAGCCTTTTGATTGATTTATTTGGGTTTTCAGAAATGAAGTGAAAGAGTGATTGATTGTTTGTTGAGCCAAGGAAAGCCAAAGGGTCTCTCAGGAATTGTTGCAGCAGGCAAAGCAACTGGCTGGGTGGGAATCTTGGCAGAAAACCAAATATTTTTATTTTATTGGTAGCTTATGAATTTTTAAATGATTTATTTATTATTTCGAATTTATTTATATAATTTTTTGACTTTTGTATTGAGAGTATGCAAATGGGTGCATGTGGAAGGTGATGGAGTGTTAGAAACAAGGTAATGGTGTGTCGGCTATCTGGAAAGGTGTCACATCCCCAAGATAGCAGCTACAAGTTTACAACCTTTTATTTTATTTTCCAATGTTTTATTTATTTTTTATGAAGTATTCTTTAATTATTATTATTATTTTTTTTTTTTTTAATAAACACCATAAGCTTATTTCTGATTGCTGGCGCAGTCTGGAAAACCTTATCCCACTAATTTTTTTCTATTAAAATACGTGAATCACATTCATTTGTAAACAAACACCCCCCTCCCCCCCCCCC